GTGTGCCAGAAGCATACGATTATATGCAGGGCTGCCTAAGATATTTTGGGTGGATGCAATGCATATAGCAGCTTACCTTATTAATCACGGGCTATCAGTTCCATTAGATTTTAGGATTCCAGAGGAGGTTTGGAGTAGAAAGAAGATAAATCTCTCACACTTGTGGGTATTTGGTTGCGTGTCTTATGTTCATATCAGTGACCATGTCAGAGACAAGCTAGAAGCTAAGTCACAGAAGTACACATTTATTGGATACGGTATTGATGAGTTTGGGTATCGCCTTTGGGATGAGAAGAACAGGAAGATCATCAGAAGCAGTGACATGATATTCAATGAAGAGGTGATGTACAAGAACATGGAAGATGCCAAGGATAGCCAAAGCAGTGGGAGCATCATTTCAGATACAAATGGATCTGAGTACATGGATATAGAGGAACTTCTAGATAGGGGTGATGATGTTTGTTCTGATCAGAGAATGGAGGAGGCTCCAGGTGCAGAAGAAACTACCCAGGGCATGGAGCTTATGAGGTCATCCAGGGTAACCAAACCAAATCCCAGATATATTTCATCTCTTGACTACTTATTATTGACAGATAGCGATGAGCCGGAGTGCTATGAAGAGGTAATGCAAGTGACTGAATCTCAGTAGTGGGAGCATGCGATGCAGGAGGAGATAGATTCTCTACTCACTAATGAGACATGGGAGTTAGCCCAGCTACCTACACAGAAGAAGGCCTTACATAACAAATGGGTCTACCGGATCAAGCAAGAGAGTGATGGAAGCAAGAGATTCAATGCCAGATTAGTAGTGAAGGGAGATATTTTTTCCTGTTGTGAAGCTCACAACCATCAGAGTGGTGTTGAGTTTGGTGGTTGCAGAAGACCTCTTTCTTGAGCAGTTAGATGTGAAGACTGTCTTTCTTTATGGTGACTTAGATGAAGAAATCTACATGAAGTAGCCTGTTGGCTTCATTGAAGAAGGAAAGGAAGAGATGGTGTGCAAGCTCAAGAAGAGCTTATATGGTTTGAAACAGACTCCGAGACAGTGGTATACGAAGTTTGATAACTTCATGCAGAACAATGGCTACAGAAGATGCAATTCGGATCATTGCTGTTATTTTAAAAGGTTCGAGTCCAGCTTCATTATGTTGTTATGAAGGATCTGGGTGTAGCGAAGCAGATTTTAGGGATGCAAATCAGTAGGGATGAAGCTGAATGGACATTGAGATTGAGCCAAACTTAATACATTAAGAAGGTACTTCAGATGTTCAACATGCAGAATGCTAAAGTTGTTAACACACCCCTTGGAAGTCAGTTCAAGCTATCTGAGGAGAAATCGTCTGAGACAGATACAGATAGAAAGCATATGAGTAGGGTGCCATATTCTTCGACCATTGGGAGTCTCATGTACGTGATGGTTTACACGAGGCCGGACATCGCCCATGCAGTAGGAGTTATGAGCAGGTTTGCTAGTAATCCAGGGAAGCATCACTGGGAGGCTGTGAAGTAGATATTGCGGTACTTGAGGGGAACAACAAATAAACCACTATGTTTCAGGAGGAAGGAGTTAGTGCTGCAGGGATACGTGGATGCGGACTTCGTCGGTGATCATGATACGAGACGAAGCACCACGAGGTATGTTTATACCTTAGCGTCGACAGCAGTAAGCTGGGTCTCACGTCTGTAGAACATTGTGACTTTATCTACAACCGAGGCTGAGTATATCACGGTGACCGAAGCAAGCAAGAAGATGATCTAGTTGAACGGGTGCTTGGAAGAGTTGGATTTGAAGCAAGGAAGAGGAGTTCTCTATTATGATAGCCAGAGTGTTATATACCTTGCCAAGAATCCAGTTTATCATGCCAGAATGAAGCACATCGACGTACGATACCATTTCATACGCTCGCTGATCGAGGACATAAAGTTACATTTAGAGAAGATTTTAGGGAGTCAAAATCCTGCGGATATGTTGACGAAAGCAGTAACCATTAAGAAACTAGAGTTGTGCGCAACTTTAGTTGGCCTTCACGAGTAGAAGACGAAGGCGGAACCACACTACGAGGATCGGCGAGATAGCCGGGATGTTGATGATTGAAGAATGAATTTTTCCAAGTAGGAGAAGATGCTTGTGAAGAAGGCGGAGTTCGGGAGAGCTCATTGATGGTGGTTTGATCTCCAAGTGGGAGATTGTTGGTCTTGAGAGTGGAGACCTAAACCTAGAATCAAAATCAACAATCGCATGAAAATTCAAGACAGGCTCCGAGTGTGGTGTCTGCCACACCCTGGTGTGGCAGAGTCTGCCCTGTCTGTCATGGGTGTAGTGTCTGCCACACCAGGGTGTGACAGACTCGTTTTAGAATTCTAATTTGTTTGGGATTGTGTTTGTTATAAATAGAAACACGTCCCTCAAGGGTTTAAAAAGAGAAAAAGAGCACGAAAAAAGAGGGTTTTTGAGGGCTCTTTGAGATTAGAAATCTTAGAGAGAGAGAGGCCAATTGCAAGCATTATAATCTTCTTCAAGTAATCAAAGAATTGTGTGGTGTGGCTCCCGAGGACGTAGGCACGTTGCCGAACCTCGTTAAATCTTGTGTGTTCTTTCTTGTTCTTATTTCCTACAAGTTTTTATCTTTGATTTGTGGTGAATTTCTTTCTTGCTCAACTCTCAAATACAAGATCCGGAAGGGTACGGACTTGATTTGATTGTTTCGAATCCCCAACACTAAAATGCAGTATGCACGTGCTTACCATGTGGTAACGTGCTCCAATGACGTTACTAAAAAAATCTACTCCAAGAACAAATAGGTATGATAGTTTAGTAATTTTTTGTTGTAATTATGCCTCATAAAAAAATTAGCATATCTTACTGCAATATCTCCAATAGTTGAGGTTGTATCGGATATTTAAATTTATTAAAATGTATAGGTCAACTAACTCTCAAAATCCATGATCTCTCTCAAATTAACCATGTTTCTTTAACTACCATAACTAATATTCTTATTAATAGTAATAAAAAACAATGAATAAGATAAGTTTTAAAGAAAATATTCGAAGACCACGAGGAGGTATTAATGGGTTAAACAACAAATTGCAATTCAAATTCGGGACCGAGAGTATACTGATTATAAATACACACCACCTCTCAATAGTACGTAATCATAATCCTACATTTTTCTCCTCCCAAAAAATTCTTAAAAATGCTACTTTAAATATACAAATAATTCTTCAGCCAAAAGCCTTTTGACACCTTAACCCTATCGATAAAGGACCCTCAATTCTAAATTAAGACCAGCGAGTACAACAAATTTAACTAAACCTTAGCAGTCCTTTTCCTCTCGTCTGCTCTCAATGTGTTCGGTGAACAACCTGTCTACTCTCTCTTTTTTTTTTTTTTTTTTTTTTTTTTTGCTGACTCCTATAATTTTGGTGCCATTTGTGGTTGTAGATTCTGTTACAAACTCCTAGAAGCAAGAACCTTTGACAACGGAGTACTGCCAAAAATTTTAATACTCTCGGTACGTGTTCATAAACTCTTTCTAAGGGAAAAAAGAAACTGAACAGTTCCAAGTGCATGAGATGTCATTAAGCTTGAATAATCTACTAATGTACCAACTGGAAGTTAGCAAAGAGATTAGCTAGTGCGGATGAAATAATTAGAGTAAACAGCGAGTGTGGGATACCGTCTCTAGCTGTAGTCAACTGTAGCACACAATAAAATCTGGGGCATGTTCGTATCTTATTTCAGCATCAATTAATGCGGAAAAGAGCTAGCTAGCTCTGTACTCCTTACTTCAAAAAGACAAATACAAGTTAAAACAACCTAAAAATTCATCCACCCCCTGAATCAAAACAGATCAAGTTTTAATCAAAACTGAGCCAAGATCAATACTAGCTTTGATGAGTTTGCAAAACAAAGCCGTAGAATATCATCATAGCTGATGTTCCATGTTTAGAAAAACTTAGTTATACGTGTCTACTAGATAGTTTGTGCATCGATGTCACGCATTATTGATGTAAACCTTGTGTCAGGACATTAATCCCCAAACTTCCATGTTTTGTACTAATCCAATGATGCGCAGTCCTTGATGCACCAACTAATCAATTTAGGGTGCAGGTTTTGCGTGTGTTTTATCTCCTCGAGTCATATGAGCGATGAGCCTTATGAAGACTCATCCATCCCATATTATAGCTTAACAAATAAGTAAAATCTGACATAAAAATTTACTCTTTTAAGCTCATTACTTCAGGTCTTGGTAAACTTCTCATGCTAAGTAGTAAACTATATATTTTTAATTGAACGTGTTTTGATTATCTCATAAAACCTAGCAATTTACCTAAAAGGCTTGCCGTTCAAAGATTTAAAGAATCTTAAACAGGTCAAGACTTGTAACTTTTCCTCCCAAGTCAAGCAATCCTTGCAACCTAAATAAACTCTTTAGAGAACTTTTACAGTTCAATGTTGCAAGTCAACCAAAATCAAGAAACATCAATTACTGATGAATTATATTATTATTACTACTACTACTACTACCAATAAAATAATACCAGCATGATTCAAATTGAAAGTCATAGATTACATTACTTAACATAAACACATTCAAATGTTTTGCTTGAGAAAACACGCTTAGAATAATTCCTATACACTTTGAAATCTTTGCTTGATATTCTCGAACTCATAAAACACCACCTAGTGACTGTTAACTAGCCATGACATCCAAAAGAAAATCTATCTTCTTTAGATACATGAGGAGTTTCATTCCAAGCGAAATATTCTCAGATGACTTCTGGTAAAAGCACAATACTGGCTTTGTGTGTTGATAGAGATTATTTAGAAAGTGCACAGGTATGCCCCGTCATAATCTGTGCTTTTTTCTCAGCAAGCAAGAAGTGGGGCAAAAAAGGAATTTGCAGACTAGCTAAGATAACATCATTAATTTTAGATGGATGACTGTGCACAACAATGAAGAATAATACAACCCCAATGAGGAGAGAAACAGACATCCACCAAAACTGCATCCCTGATGTAACTTTGACAACTATATTCCGCGAAAAGATGTCCTTCTTCATCCCTGATGCATCTGAAGAAATAGAAACAGTTAAGCTACTTTTAATATACCAAATACTGCATTTGAGGTACCAAATCACAAAAAGGCCAACAGGATAGAAGATGATTAGTACAAAAATTGAACTTCATTCATGACCAAGAGATCATGCCCCTAATAAAGAGCATAACTTGTTGAAAACTTTTGATTTGTTGATTCTTGCCTCAAGTAACTCAGAGCTTTTCGTTACATTCAGGTAAGCCCATTAGAAATGTCAATGTGATGTTATGTGCTTGATTCAAGGCTCATAGTGAATTATACCAAAATTACTTGATAAAATTTTCATTACTGACATCTGGCCTATAAGTTTTGAAATACTTATCAGTGCTTGATGCTGCTAGAGGCAATTACATTATTGCATAAGATTTATGATTCTACATAACCACTAAAGTCTAAACCAAAGGGTTGTGAACCTTTACTGGATTTGTATTTAGCAAGCAAAAGTAAATATTTGAAGGATGAAAGGCAACATAGAATATGAGTGTTAGCAAATGAGCTGGAGCATATGAAGACCAAAAGAAACATCGTCAAGAAAAGTAAAGATACAACTGATTGTTTTAAACAGCTGAACAGTAAAGTTGCATCCAAGAATCAAAGTAGACATACTAAAGAAGCATATAGTAAGGACTCAATGCTATATAACACTGTTTCAGAGATAACGCAAGTGTTCGCTGGATAAGATAAATCTTCAGATGTAGGATGTGGATACTGTATACAAAAAATAAAAAATGTATGCACGTTCACCCTTGTGGGGTTACTCGTGTGTTAGTCACAAAATGGATCCAACATGGCAAATTCTCAAAGAGCATGAACAAAGTGGGAACATCACACAAACAGAAAACATATTTTTAGTGTGTAAATCGGTTATTATGAGTATCAAAAATTCTCTCTTATAATTTGACTAAAATGTAATTAAACAGACTAATACAACATTTCATACATGAAACGTAAGAATGAATTGCATGTCGATCGAAAGGTTTTAATTTCTAGTCAGAATACATCAGCTCCATTTTCTTCTGAAGAAGACTGATTTAAAAGCTTGATCAAAAGATCAGTTAGGCTAATACCTAGGAGGCTAGGGAAGTCAACAAAAGATACAGACACAACCATTGAACCTATATTTTTTATTCAATTATAGAATCAGTGTATTACTATTCAGTATTTGTAAGAATTGGGTTTAGGGTTTTTCTCTTATGTTCTCATTGATAGAATGTTGGCTTATATAGCCTTACAAACAAGTTTACACAAAGGCCCTCTAAAAGCTCTTTAATTGCGTTCCATTCTCAACACTCCTCCTCAAGATGGGCGAAAGATATCTATTAAGCCCATCTTGTCACACCCTCTAGCTAAATCTACTGAGCTAAGCCCTTTAGTCAAGCAGTCTGCAGCCTGCTCCTTAGTTGGAACATAGTCTAACTCCAGTAGCCCACTGTTCAGCTTCTCCTTGATGAAGAATCTATCAATCTCGATGTGCTTAGTTCTGTCATGTTGAACTGGGTTGTTGGCGATGTTGATAGCTGACTTGTTGTCGCACCACAAACTCATCTTGGCCCATTGGTCAAGGTTCAGCTCCACCAGCATGTTCTTCAGCCACATCAGCTCCGCAACCCCCAAGGCCATGGCTCTGTACTCAGATTCAGCTGTTGATCTTGCCACCACAGATTGCTTCTTGCTTTTTCAGGAGACTAAGTTGCCTCCTACAAATATGCAATACCCTGAGGTAGACCTCTGATCATCTTCGCAGCTAGCCTAATCTGAGTCACAGTAGCCCTCAATGTTCACATGACCACTCCTCCTGAATCTTAGTCCTTTACCAGGGGCACCCTTTAGATACCTCAATATCTAATACACAACATCCATATGACCCTTCCTCGGGTCATGCATATAGCGGCTCACCATGCTGACCGCAAATGAGATATCTGGACGTGTGTGACTCAGGTAGATCAGCCTACCCATCAATCTCTGATATCTCTCACGATCAACAGGTTCTCCAGCCTCAGCACTCAACCTGAGACTCTAATCAATCGGTTTAGTAGCAGTCTTGCACCCCAACATCCCTGTCTCTGTAAGAAGATCCAGTGCATACTTCATCTGGAGAGAACAATCCCCTTAGGTCTATGAGCTATCTCTATCCCAAGGAAGTATCGCAACTGACCCAGATCCTTCACTTCGAATTCTTTGCTCAATCTTACCTTGAGCTGAGCAATCTCCTTCTCATCATCCCCTGTGATGATCATATCATCCACATATACTGTCAGCATTGTGATGTGACCCCCACTTCTTCTGAAGAATACAGTATGATCGGCATTGATCTGTCTGTATCCCATACTAACCATGGCTCTCCTGAACCTGTCAAACCATGCTCGAGGGGACTATTTTAGTCCATACAGAGACTTTTTCAGCCTGCAGATCTTACCCACTGTCTGTCCTGTGCCACATCCAGGTGGTATCTCCATATACACCTCTTCCACTAGATCTCCATGAAGGAACACATTCTTCACATCCAGTTGGTGTAGTTCTCATCCACCATTTGTTGCCAGAGAAATCAGCGTTCGAACAATGCTCATCTTCGCCACTGGTACAAAAGTCTCATCGTAGTCAATGCTGTATGTCTGGCTGTACCCTTTTGCCACCAGTCGTGCTTTGTATCGTTCAACCTTCCCTTTCGGGTTTTGCTTCACAGTAAACACCCACTTACATCCCACTGCCCGTTTTCCTGCTGGCAGTGTCGCTAACTCCTACGTATGGTTCTTCTCAAGAGCCCCCAGCTCCTCATGCATAGCAGCCTTCCACTTTGGATCCTTCTTAGCATCCTGCCAGCTGTTAGGTATAATAACAGAATCTAATAATGCAATGAATGCTCCATGTGAAGGTGATATGTGAGAATAGGAAACAGAATGAGCTAGATCCCAACCATATCTCTTAGGAGAATGTCCCGCATTACTGCGAGTAGTCCTTCTTTCTGACATTGGAGTAGGAAGAGGGTTAGGGGTAGGAATGGTATTACCTAGAGTGGAGGGTGGTGTAGGTGTCTCTAGAGTTAGAGCAGAGCTGGACGAGGGACTAGGCACTGGCACTGTTACTGTAGGTACATCTGGTTCCTTCCCTCTCCTAATATATGTAAGCAACTCCCCCTGAGCTGTAGGCCTAACACCTCTTTTCTTCTCCTCCCCTTCGTCTTCATCCTCCTTCTCTTCTGGGTATGGAATCATAATTGGGATTGACCCCCTTGAGCTCTCACAATTCTCCCTCTCTCGCCTCATACCTCCAGTATCGGGTAAGTCACCAAAAGGTGAAGTAACCCCCACTGTGTAGTACGGCTCGAGATTCCGAAATCGCACATCCATGCTGACAAACAGCCTTTTCTCCACTGGGCTCCAGCAGACATACCCTTTCTGGGTGTCATTGTATCCCATGAATATACACTTCACAGCCCTAGGGTCTAGCTTCCCAACCGATGGTCTGTTGTCCTTCACAAAGCACACACAGCCAAATACCTTCAATGGTAGGGCCCCCTCGTTATCTCCCTTCAATATCTCACGAGGAGACTTCTACTCCAACACACTCGAAGGCATCCGGTTGATTAAGTAAGCAGCAGTTAAGACTGCTTGTCCCCACACCACCTTTGGGACATTCATCGCCATCATCATACTCCTAGCGACTTCTAGGAGATGTCTGTTCTTCCTCTCTGCTATCCTATTCTGAGCAGGGGTGTATGGACATGTCGTCTGGTGTAGAATCCCCTGAGCTGACAGATACTCCCCAAGTGTTCTGTTGGTGTACTCTGTCCCATTATCCGACCTCAACACCTTTACTGTTGCACCATACTAAGTCTGGATGTGCATATGAAAGTCTTTAAAACAGCCAGCTACATCACTTTTGTTTTTCATAAGATACACCCAAGTGACCCTAGAGAAGCAATCAATAAATGTAATAAAAACTTGCATCCATTTATAGAATTTACTGGGCAGGGTTCCCATACATTAGAGTGTATTACTTCAAACTTACAAAAACTCCTATTACCTGAACTAACATAAGAGCTTCTAGTTAGCTTCCTAAACTCACATGCATCGCAATGCAGCTTCTGCGTATTTACTTTTCCAAACAGGGTTGGATACATTCTACCCAAAATACTAAATGATGGATGTCCCATCCGTTGATGATAGAGCATCAACTCATCTTCTGCACACACTTTAGCTCCTGTTCCCGTCCTCTCTATCACAGATGTTAGCGCTAAATCCATCCCTTCGTGGTCTAAGTACCACAACCCGCTACGTCATGTCCCAGTCCCAAGTCTTCGTCCTGTCCCCTTCTCCTGGAATATCATCTTGGGAATGTCAAAATAAACAATACAATTTAGTTGGAGGATAATGGCACTAATGGATAACAGGTTAACCGAGAATGAAGGAGCATGCAAGATATTAGATAAAGTTATAGAACCTGTACAACTAACAGTGCCCTTACCAACCACATCCTGCGCTGTACCATCAGCGATCTGGATGCTCACTGCTTCTGCTAAGCGAGTGTAAGATAAGAACTCACTGGCATTGCCTGTCACATGTCTGGATGCTCCAGAATCCATTATCCAGGCAGTAGATCTTTCCTCGTTTGGGTGTGTGCGAAGAGCGTAATTAGCATAGTCCCCTCTAGAGAAAGTAGTAGATGCCCCCTCAGACACATCACCCACTGTGCTCTGCTTCCTCCTCAGTGCTGCCAAGAGTGCAAGATCCTCAGCAGTGAAGATCATCTCAGCTTCTTCTTCTTTTTCTATCACTGTCAAGTTTGCTCGGTGACCTCCTCTTCCACCTCGCCTGCCTCTACGGTCACGGTCACGGCCTCCAGCCTGATCGCGTCCACCCCAGACCCTCTCTCTGGGTGGCTTAGAGCATATCTGTCTCAGATACCCTACCTCTCCGCAGTTGAAGCACTTCCTAGTCTCCCCTCGGAATCAGTGTTATCTGGGTTGGATACCACCA